AGGAAAAATAATGAGTGGCCAGTGACAAAAGCATCAAAACATAAGATTGTAGTATCCTGGAATCACATGAAGAAAATGTTTAAAGGAAAAAGGAATGGTTAACCATATTGAATACTCCTGATAGGTTTAGTACAGTGAAAATTGATCCTTAGATTTAGCCTGACCTAGTCATTGCTAACCTTGAAGAGAGTCTCTGTTGTGGAGTGGTATAATCAAGACTGCTTAGAATAGGCTCAAAGGATAATGGGAGGAAAGGAATTGAATACAGTGACCATCAGTGGCTCTTTGCAATAAGTCTTGCTGTAAAGGAAAATAGGTGGTAGGGACGGTAAGTTCAAGACAGCTTGTTTCAAAGATTAGTGGAATTTTTGTATAGTTATGGGAACGATCTAACAGGGAGACAAAAATTAATGCTGAAGAAGAAAGGGGATTTTCTAGAAAGATGTCCTTGAGCAGTCAAGATAAGATGGAATGGGATTCAATGCACACAAGTAGAGGAGTTGGCCTTTAATAGATGCACAGGCATAACATAGCAGTGAAAGCAAGGCTGAGTATATGGGTGTACATACAGGTTGGGAGAGCGTGTGAGGGACCCTCTCTTCTGATTGCTTCTATTTTCTCAATGAAATAGGAAGCACCATCATTGGGAAGCCCAAGAAGGTGTGGAGCTTGAGAACAGAGGATAAGCTGTAAATTATTCATCGAGGAGGGTGAGATAGTAATTGGACAAGGGAAGTGTGGCAGTATTGCTGGGAAAATGGAAAATCTCACTTCCAGTTAATTTCATGAACTGACACCTTTAAGCACGATTTGGTGTTCTTCTCCAGCTGCATTCAGGAACAGAATATGTTGATAGTGGGATTTAAATTGGATAGGGAGGTTAGTCTGGAATAGAATAGAGGGTAAGGGGCAGTGTGGTTGAACGTACATCGAAGGGAGTAAGTAAAGTAATGAACCACAAACTAAACTGGATAGGGAGAGAATGGACGAGATGAAAGGGTTGCAAGATAATGAAAGAGTATTAATATTGGTGGCTTGTAAGTCTTGAAGGGGTTGAGATTCTAGAGAGAAAGAGGTGAAATAAGATGAGATAGACAGAAATGCAAATTGCTAAGGAAGGGGATGCAGTATTTTTCACCCTCAACGAAGCTCTGTATGTGTTAAATCAATTCAGCCTCCCAAAATTGGGAGTTAACCAAAGTCCTATAATTGAAACACCATTTTCCCATTTACTTATGCTAATATACCTATTTTCCAGAGCTGAGGATCCCCAAAACTAGGATTGAGGAGTGGGGAAATTAGAGATATCGGAAAAAGGTGTTGGGCAGCTATGAGGGCATCAGATAGAAAAGTTACAAAATGCCCCTGAGAAGGGGAGACCTCACTGGATTGATAGTCAGTTGCACTCAGACCAGAAGACTGATGGAGGCCACAGGCTAAGGCCAGGGTCTATATGTCTAATGCACTGGAAATGGCAGCATAGAGGTGCCAGACTGTCTCCAGAGCTTGGAAAGTTCTCTTCACCTCTGAACTTTGATCCCACTTTCACATCCACCATGCATTGTATGTGGAGCAGTCAGGCAGCTTTGACACTGCTGGGCACCTTTTCTCTGCAGGGCCAGCCTCTCTGCGCTGATCTTCAACACTGTCAACTGCTCTGTCATCTGCATTGCGAGACTCTCTTCCCTTCCCTTCAGTGACATCCCACTTTCTGCTTTTGCTCCTTCTTTTGTAGGTTCCACTGCTTCTGCTTTTTTCTCAAATGCTAGTGCTCCTCAGAGTTCCATTTTCAACACTCTATTTCTCATTTTACATGTTTCCTGGACAAACTCATCAATTCTCATAGTTTTACTAATCACCTATTTGGCTACCATTTAGTAATCTCTCAGGAGCCTGCAACTCCCTTATGTTTACAGAATCTTATAATCAGTGTGAATGCCCTGGAAGCACCTCAAGCCCTCCACCTGCCTAAAGCTGAATGCATGAGCTTTCACCTCAAATACATGCCTTTTCCTCCATTCTTATCCATCTTCTAGTAGCACAGACCCTCCTCAGTTTCTTACTTTCCCTTCTTTGCCTCCAACCTAATCAATCAGTAATCTTATTGATTTTATCTCCAATCAGATTGTTACCTCCTCACTCATGACTAATCTTTGCCTTTATTACAGCTTTAGACTCTTGAGTAGTCTTTATTTTCCTTTTGTCTTGTTCCAAATGGTACTGCAGCCAGAGTGATCTTGCTAAAGCTTATATTGCTTTCCTTTCAAAGTCATACCAATTTAGCATGACATACTAGGCATTGCATCTTTGATCGCTTGCTCGCTTGCCCAGCCTTACCTCTCCTCACCTCTCTCCCTCACTCTCTGAGCTCCTGACAACTTTCATCTGCCAAGCACACCATGCTGTCTTTCTTTTCCAGGTCTTCGTATATTTTCTTCCCTTTGCCTAGAATATCTTTCCATCCCTACTCAGAGCTTTGCTGAGCTAACTACTAATGGGCTTTCAGGACTCAGTTTGTGTAGAATTTCATCTGGGAAGCACTTTCTGATGGTCCTAGGCTGAATGAGGGATTCCACTACATGGGAGGGAGCCCATGGGTCCCTGAAATTACTTTTATATCACAATGGATTAAAGTTGCACCCATATTTGCCTTTCTCTTCCACTAGATCTTAAACTCCTTTAAGGCTAGTACAATACCTTGTTCACATTTGTAGCCCTAGCATTTAGCCCTACCAGGTTCTCATTACATGTTTGTTGAATACATGAATGAATGAATAAATTGTCAGATTCCTAGTAGCAGCTTTGGGTTCACTTTAATTGATGAAAAAGGAATCTCTAGTACAACAGATGCAACTGATTACATCACAAATGAAGACCTGGTGTGGAGCACACAGCCAAATTAGCATTTGGTTCATCTCAATTTATATGGAGTGGCATAAGCCAATTTCTGTACCACTTGAACAGTATGTATTTTGTTAAAATATATATATATATATATATATATATATATATATATAAGATGTATAACCATGGTGATGATCTTAGCTTTTTTGAACCTCATTAAGGCCCTTCTAGTTTTCCACTGATTATCCTTATCTAGCTTTAAGAACTATAAACCACGTTCTCATATTCTATTTTAATTTTTAACACTAGAATGGGATAGTTCTTTTTTTCTTTTTAGACGTGAATGAGGTAGGCAGCTAAAACATAAAGCAACAGACTGCACTGAGAAATGAATAGGTTCCAAGACTACAACTACAAACTATCTTAAAGGAAAACCCATTCTCTTTTCATTACCTTACACCTCTGGGTGCCCAAACCTGCATTTAATTCCAGGTTTTAAAGGAGATTTTATGTCTACCCATAATCTGTTCTCATATAGTTTGCCCAGGAGAGGTTAGCTATTTTCAGTTAAAATTGATCTACCTTCATTAGGCTTGTAGCTGAACACAAAGACTAAAGGACACGAATCTCTTAACAGCTCCTGGTAGGCTTGGACTACACATAGCATGCTCATTTTAACTGTGGAGAACATCTAAAAAATATACGTTTTTGACTTTCAGAGAAATCATATTTACAATTTCACAGAACAGAAAATGTTAAACTTCATCGATGTTTAACACCTAAAGTGTTATTTTCAAATCATAGAAATGCTTCTTGCATTCCAAAATATCTCTATGAGGCAATAGAATCATTCTAAATAATTTTGTTTGTGAGAAAGTGTACTCACAAAGATAAATTACGTTTTATCTGAAATGAAGTTAGCATCCATTAAGTTCACATGTCAGATACCCTGAACAAACATGTCTGATTCTTGGACCAGTCCTGGGGTCCTAGTGGTTAAGTTTGGGGCTTTCTGCTTTGGTGGTCCAGGTTCCCTTCCTGGGTGCAGACCTACACCACTCATCTGTCAGTGGCCATGCTGTGGCAGTGGCTCATATACAAAAATCGGAAGATTAGAAGAAGATGTTAGCTCAGGGTGAATCTTCCTCACCAAAAAAAAAAAAAGTCTTATTCTTAAAAATATTTCCAAGATCAACAAATTATTGAATTTGATTGATATTAGACATAGAAAAATTTCCAATTCCTAATTGTTCTTTAGAATTCAACATAATTAGTCTATACTTTTAAACATTTGTTCTATACGCTAAACTGACTCTCTCCTGTGGCCATAAAGGAGAATTAGTATAGTCTACCTCAGGCACTATGCATATCTTTTATAACAAAACCTTAGTAATTAAAGTAAAATATGGGCAAGACACTTCTCAATAATCAATAAAATTAAGAATGTCATAACAGTATCCCTACTTGGTAATATTGTTATATATAGTATATAACAAAATCTACAAAGCAAATTCTATCGAAAATTTTTATATTCCATAGTGAATTTGACTGCTTTGCAAGAGCATGAGGCATAACTTGCAGCCTAATCAAAATATATATGCTGCATTCGATGTATTTCCTGTTACACAAGTTTGAGGTGATGAAAATCCAGTATATATTTATAGAATATAATTGAAAATGTTGGGTTTTTTTACTTTTCCCCACTTTTTAACAAAAAAAAGAAGTGATCCTATGTATGTGCATGGATATTTTAATATTAAAGCAAACAAAAATGTTAATTCCCAAATATTGCTGACAAAGAAAATAAAGGCTTAAACTCTTAGATGTCTTTCTTCCTTGCTTTCTTCCTCTCTTCATTCATTTTTCTCTTCTTCCTTCCTCCTTTTCTTTTCTTTTCTTTTCTTTCCTTCCTTCCTTCTTGTCATTTTTCTTTCTTTCTTTCCTGCAGAAACCCAACATTATAACTATTAGAATTTCCAGAAAAATATGTAAAAATATAAAAGTAGCATTTTATCTTTTCCACTCTCAGTCTAGTCTGCATTTGATTGCTGCTCCAAAGGAGGTTTTCAATAATGTCTTTAAAAGAAATAATTTTCATGGAAAAAATAAAATAGTCTTCTCAGAATTCACTTTTTATTATTGTTTTTCTTTTATAGAATATTCTGGAGCTCTTCCTGGTCTCCCTACTTCATATGCTGCTTTGTTAAGAATTAAGAAGAGTTCATCTTCATCCCTCTTTGGTTCAAAGACCAGACCACGATACAGCAGTCCTTTGTTAGGAACACCGAGCTGGCGAGGGGCAGCTCAACATTATTATTCCCCCAACAATCTTTATCACTCCTCAGATGCCTTCAAACAAGATGGTAAGTGTCAAAGGAAAATTGCACCTGTTGGAGTTAAACAGTCAAGGAAGACTTTATTCAAGACTATTGCAATAAGGGAGAGAGGTTCAAGTCAACTCCTCTAAAACAGAAAGAAAGAGAGTTTTTAAGATTTGGAAAAGTGAAGGACATTAGGAAAGAGGTTGGTCAATGTGATTAGGCCGTGGAGGGGAGGAAAATTTTTCCTTCTTCCTTTCTAAGTTTTTTGGCTGGCCTAATAATTAAATTGACATAAGACAGATTAACAGGAGAAAAACAAATTTAATTTCATACATACAGGACCCCATAAAAATATGATAATCAAAGAAGTGACCAAAGCAGGCAGTGTTTATGCCTTTTAGTCAAGGAAACAATACATTTATGAAGAATGCAAAACACACAAAGGGGTATGGGTGTAGTAAATTAGGGGCAGAGAAGGAATTTATAATTGCAATTTTTCTAAAGTAAATTTTCTAAGAAAAAGGAGGCTAGGGCACTATAGTCAGGAAGGAACCTGTTAGTTTAGTCAAGCTGAAGAAAATATTAATATTAAGGTCATCTTGACCATAAGCTAGTCTTCTGTTCCACGTATCTCTCAAAAAATTTTTGTGTGTTTAATTATTATTTAATTACATCTGATACCCATCCTGATTTAGGACTAAGACTAAATAAATTCATAGACTGAAAGTAAAAATATAAAATTTCTGAAGGACAATTTGACAATGAATATCAAGAGCCTCAAAATAGTCATATCCTTCAATCTCATGGTTTCATTTCTAGAAATATATTCTTCATAAGGAAATAATGCACAATATACACAGATATAAATATACATATAGAATTATTTGTGAGTGGAAAATAAGGAATAATCTTAATTTCCAACACTAAGATATCAGTTAAACTAAGGACTACTATGCAGCTATTAATATTATGTTTGAACAACTTTTTCTATATGTTCTCTAACTGTGTTAGTTTTGGATGTATCAACAAAACAATACAAGGTTACTTAACCGTTAGACAGAAGCATTAGTGCTGATTAACACCATGATCTCTATCAGGCTCTATTGTAGAGCTTATCTCAATAATTCTCTCAACAAATTTGTGAAGTGGATAGTTTTACTGTCTTCTTTGGAAATGGAAACTCAGGGACAGATAAGTATCTTTGACAAGGTTACATTGCTACTAAGTAGTATAGCCAATTTTCATTCACGTATGTACTGATTTTAAGTCCAATACACTTTGGGCTACATTTCAGTTCTTGATGAAAGACTAAACATTCAGGAAACATTTTGCAAGAATTAAGCTACTTAGAAAGATTCTAGAAACGTCAAATTAGGTTGTGGTGCCAAGCAAAAGCAAACTCATGCCCCAAGATTTTGTCAATTATTTCCATGTGGCCATCATCTCACAGTGTTGCCATTTAAATTTATTTAAGCATGGTGTTAGCTCCCTAAAAATGTTTTATTCTTTTAAAAACTTATACTTAGTATAAATTTTAAAATTCCTGTAATGTGTTCTGTGAAAGAAACTGTCAAGAGAATTAGGAAGCAAGCCAAAGACTGGGAGAAAATATTTGCAAAGATGCATCTGATAAAGAACTGTTATCCAAAATATACAAGGAAATTTTTATAACTCAACATAAGAAAACAAATAACCCAATTAAAACATGGGCCAAAAACCTCAACAGATAATTCTTCAAAGAAGATACACAGATAGCAAATAATCATATGAATAAATGAACCACATCATATGTCATCAGGGAAATGCAAATTAAAACAACAATTAGATACCACTACATACCTGTTAGAATGCCCAAAGTCCAGAACACTGAAAACACCAAATGCTGGTGAAGATGTGGAGCTCTCATACGTTCTTGGTGGGAATCCAAAATGGTATAGCCACTTTGGAAGACAGTTTGGTGGTTTCTTACAAAACTAAGTATACTCTTACCATATGATCCAATAATTGCTCTCCTTGGTGTTTTTCCAACGGAGTTGAAAACTTATGTCTACATAGAAACCTGCACATAGATGCTTATAGCAGCTTTATTCATAATTGCCAAATCTTGGAAGCAACCGAGATGTCCTTCAGTAGGTGAGTGGATAAATAAACTGTGGTACATCCAGACAATGGAATATTATTCAGCAATAAAAGGAAATGAGCTGTCAAGCCACTAAAAGACATGGAAGAAATTTAAATGCATATTACTAAGTGAAAGAAGCCAATCTAAAAAGGCTACATGCTGTATGGTTTCAACTATATGACATTCTGGAAAAGGCAAAACTATGAAGACAGTAAAAAGATCAGTGGTTGCCAGGCATGGGGGTTTGAAGGAGAGATGAATAGGCAGAGGACAGAGGATCTTTAGGGCATTGAAAATACTCTGAATGCTATCATAATGATGGATACATGTCATTATACATTTGTCCAAACTCATAAAATGTACGACACCAAGACTGAACCCTAATGTAAACTATGTAATTTGGATGATTATTGATGTGTCAATGTAGGCTCATCTTTAGTTTAAAAAAATGTACCATTCTAAAGAGTGATGTTGATAATAGAGAAAGGTATGCATGTGTTTGGGTGAGGGACATGTAAGAAATCTTTACCTTCCTCTCAATTTTGTTCTAGACCTAAAACTGTTCTTAAAAATATAAAGTCTTTAAATAAATTCCCATTACATTAACTCTAATGTCATATTCATCAAGTAGAGATATATTGGGATTTATGTTCTTTAAGCATCATTATTTTGTGGGATGACACCAAGGTACAATGCACTGAGTGATCAGAACTCTGGGATACTCTTGTATGTGGTATAATTTGACACCAATCAGTGTTCTACTGCTTTGTTCTTTTGTTCCGAATGTAAGATAATGTAACTCACAATCATAAATAAAATACAACTAGAAAATATGAATTAAAACATATGAAAATGATGAAAACAGCAAATATTGGGACATATAATATTGCCAGACCTGAGACTAATTCAAAGAGTCTACTGTAATACTGTAAATGCCTATATACCTGCTGTAGGCTAGTCCCATGTTGGGTAATTAGTGGTCAATGAAAAAGAAACTCTGGTCAGTTACATATTTCCCAGAGTTTCAAAGATTAAAATGAAATAATTATTCAGTAGAAACACAACTATCTCTGACACTAAAATCAGCCAAATTTTTCTGGAGAGTCCTCATTAAGAGTTTATTATTGACGTAATGGCCAATGACCTGAACATTATTCTTATTGTGTACATAAACATAAGTTTCATCAGCTTCAATAAATGCAGATGAAACTCAAGCATCAACAGCAAAATGAGAATTAATTATCTAAAACTTCTTAGTCTCCTTAGTCTTTAATAGACATGCAATCACTTGGGAATCTTGTTAAAATAGACCCTTTTCAACAGAACAAGAGTGGGGCCAGATAATCAGCATTTATAAAAAGTTCCCAGGAGATGCTGATGCTGCTGGTCTGTGGAACATACTTTGAGTAGGAAGGCTCTAGGCTGGGCACCAGTTTGATATATTTTAAATCCTTTCCTGTTTTACTTTAATCCACAGTTAGAGTATCAGGAAGAATGCATAGTCTGAGTATATTCCAAGTAATCTTCCCTAACTATTGTTTTCTCATATGAGTGTTGTTTGAGAGATCTTGGCTAGATGTGATTTTGAGTTTGTTCTCTCTGGCAAGAGCCTGACACATAAGGGACATATAAGGCTTTAGCCTTAATGGAGAGTAAAGCCTGGGTTGACATGCTCTTGTGAAAAATGAGAAAACTAACAGAGTCTGAAGAGAAAATCATCCCACGCCTGCTCAGAGTTAAGCCCAGAAGTACCCTAAATAAAACTAAGATTTTTCTGAGAAATGTAAAAATCCAGATTGCAGAGTAATTTGGGAAAGCAATTCCACATCTGTATATACAACCTCGAGAAATTTTCCCACACAGACACAAGGAAATATAAAAGTATGTTCACTGAAATATGTGTTTAATATCAAAACACTGGAAACAACTCAAATATCCATTAGAAGGGGAATAGATACATAGATTGCAGTTTTTCATCCACTGGCAAATCAAAGCTGTTGAAGTGGATAGACTATATCTTTATGAAACAAAATAAGTATACCTCAAAATATAATGGTTAGTGAAGAAAAGTTATAGAATATTACATATATATGATATCATTTATGTAAAAAAATTAAAATTACAGTAATATATATTATCTATGGATACATATATGTGGTACAATTTTAAAACATGAACTTGAGACAGCAAGTTGATTATGGTGCTTATGTCTGAGGACAAAGGGAGAATGAGAGCAGAGAAATGGTACCAGAATAGGGAAGATTGATGCCCTCTACTGTGTGATATTTTATTTCTTAAAATAAAGAATTTGCCCAATATGATGACATCTATAGTAGGTAGAATCTAAAATGATTCACAATGATTCCTACCTCCTGGTATTTACAGTGTAATCTCTTCTCCTCCATGTGGACTGAAGTTAGTAACCTGCTTCTGGAGAACAGATTATGGCAAAGTAGAGGAACGTGACTTCCAACATTGGGTTACAAAAGAATCTGGCTTCCATCTGACTTCCACTCAAAGAAGAATGCATAATCAGGACCTGAATAAACAAATCATGACTAACTCCAGGGATTAGCTGCTTAGAAAAGAATTCCAACCTGTTGAGATGATCACAAGGTACTACAGAAAATTAAAATAGATGAAACTTATGAAGAAAATCTTAAAATCATGAACTTGTAAGAAGAATCCTCTATAGAAAGTGTAGAAGTATGGTAAGGACATCAACTAAATGAACAAAAGTTATATGTGTATTATCTCACAGTCTCTGTGGGTCAGGAAACCAGATGTGGCTTAACTGGATCCGCTGGCTCTGTGCCATTCACAAGGTGGGATTATAGTATCATCCCAAGACTCAAATGGGTACAGATCCACTTGTAAGCTCACTCACCTTGCATGATTGTTGGTAGGATTCAGTTGCAGA